GACAGAGTGAGACTCCGTCTCAAAACAAACAAAAAATACAAAAATTAGTTGGATGTTGTGGCAGACACCTGTAATCCTAGCTACTTGGGAGGCTGAGGCAGAAGAATCGCTTGAACCTGGGAGGCCGAGGTTGCAGTGACCCAAGATTGTGCTATCTCACTCCAGCCTGGGCAACAAGAGGGAAACTCCTTATCAGGAAAAAAAAAAAAAAAAAAAAAAGATATTCAAACCATTTGTTCAAACCCAATTTGCAAATATTGTTCGTACATTGGATTGAGTACATATAGAGAGACATTGAAGCTATTAATTGTGTCACATCCTCAAAGACAGTCCCTCTTTTGGACTCTTACATTCTGCTTTATTTTCTCTCCTTAGCCAATTTTTTTATATGGCTACATTTTCAACATTGTGAGCACGTTTTAAGCAATGTGCAGCCTGGAGCTCAATAGGTATCCCTTCCTCCCAGATAAAATTATTCATCAATATTAGTTTTATGTATAATATAAATATATTTATATGTGTACAAATAAATGTGTGTGTATGTGTACAGATGGATGGATAGATGCAGTATACTAAAAGTATTTATGTTTTTTTTTTCTCTTTTCCCAAAGTAGCAACTTAGATAACAGAATTAGATCCAGGTGTGTCCTGGTGTCCTTCTAGGCTGAACCCCTAAGACTTGGTGGGAATGGTGTGCTGCTTTCCTCCATACTTAATTTTCCTCTTTGTTTCCATAGATAAATATCATTCAGGGAATTGTGGCAGAAATCAACACCAAGACTGGCGAATCTGAATGCCGCTATTATAAAGAGCGGCTTCTTTACTTGGAAGAAGGCCAGAAAGACTCCCTGATCGACAGCTCTCGAGTCTTGTGTTGTCATGGTGAACTGAAGAACAATCGGGGCGTGGTAAGTAGTTACTCCCTTTAAGCAGTCTCATCCTCCTCCCCTATCCCTAATTCATTTGATGTGGAGCCTCCTCTTACAATTTCTTCCCTATCTAGGGTCATGTTCTTTTTTTTTGAGATGGAGTCTTGCTTTGTCACCCAGGCTGGCTCACTGCAACCTATGCCTTCCCAGGTTCAAGCAATTCTCGTGCCTTGGCCTCCCAAGTAGCTGGAACTGCAGGCGCGCACCACCACGCCCGGCTAATTTTTGTACTTTTTTAGTAGAGACAGGGTTTCACCATATTGGGCCAGGGTGGTCTCAAACTCCTGAGCTCAAGTGATCCGCCCACCTTGGCCTCTCAAAGTGCTGGAATTACAGGCTTGAGCCACCATACCTGTCATTCATTCTTTCAAACAAAAATTGCTTTTCCAGTGTCATTTATGTCACAAGACCATATGTGTATATGTATGTATATATTCATTCATATTTTGTAATTCATATTTTGTAATTCCAATATTCAGAAAGAATTTTGGAAACCAACATAGGGTTGCCAGCTATTTATTTTGTTTGATCATGACTTTGAAAAACAAATGCAGAATAGTTAACATCTCTCACTTTGATTTAAGAAAATAAAGGATGATCTTAATAAGATGTTAGAAGGATTTAATCTCAGAAAAACAGTCTTCAGTTGAATGCATTTAACTTCTTTATTGTGGATTGGGGCCCATCCACAGACTGGCATTTTGAAACCAGTTTTTTAAAAATAACAACCTATCTTCTATTGGTTGTATATTTAGCTTTGACCTATAGATACCCATTTCCTGGCTTTTATTCCCAAGTGGATACCAATGGTTCCTCTTCTGCTATCATAGCAACTGTGCATATGTCCCTTAGAGCACTTAATATAGTGAGTTGCAATTCTCCATTTGTCTGTCAGTATATTCCATTATACCATGTTATTTTGGTGGGGGAACTGTGTTTTGTCAACCTTAGAATCTATTATGGGGACCTGGCACATACTGGGTACTCAATGAATGAATGCTTATTTAAAGAGAAAGATGAATTTGAATTATATGAGAGTTCAAAATTCATTTAGCTCACCAA